CAGCTGGGCAAACTCCAAACTTTGCATCTCCATGTCTGAGGTCAAAATGCTCTTCAGATCTCCAATTCCTTTTAGCTTTGTTGACTGCAACACACTTTTTTCTCTTGGGCTAGTTCCACTTTCTGTTAGCAGCTCTCCTCAGCAGGTATCCCATGGCTCTGGCATTTTTAATATCTTGGGGTCTTCAAGGCAATCCAGGCTTCAACTTCACAGCTTCATGCAATGGTCTCTTTAGGCCTCTATTTAGGGACATCCCTGACACATGCCTGGTCTCAGTGGGTTGATTCCATAACTCCTTTCTTCTATCCTTAACTCTAAACCCAGAACCACATGGCCAAAGCTGCCAAGTTCTGTTGCTTTCTGGGGCTGGAAGATGGCCTCCTTGTTCAGTTACATCTTCACCAGCTTTTTGGTTTTGATTGTTACCTTCATTGCCCAAGCTTGATTTTCCTTGAATTTTCTCTGTAGACCAGGCTGGCCTCAAACTCAGAGATCCACCAGCCTCTGCCTCCCAAGTACCAGGATTAAGGGGGTGCATTACCACGCCAAACTCTAAGCTTTTCTTTAATTCCCTTTTATAAGTTGGAAACCTAGCTGGGCGAGATCTTGCCCTGAAGTCACATCTCCCTTTATTCCATCCTGCTCAGCTTGCTCCTTTTCATTATAAATCTTCATTAGAGTTACCAGTAATAGCCACATGACAGGGTCTATACTAAGCTGTTTTGAGATTTCCTCTGCCAATGGAATTAATCCAAAACTCTTCACTTTAGCCTCAAGCAGATTTTTCATGATGCTCACCCAGATGGAGTGACACACCTGCAGAGGCAGCTCCAACTGTGGGACCTAGGGGAAAGCTTCAGGCGCCTTTACTTGTGAAACCCACTAGTAATATCACCTGCCTCTGAGAGTTACACACAGGCCATCCTTGGCCACAAGAAGTATTAACTATGGATAATATTAGTGTTGTCATAGCCCCACTGTAATCGAATTATCACTGCTATTTAAAATGACCTTAGGTGCTGAAGTCCATATTACCATTTTATAGGAAACATCCTAAACTAAATTATGTGAAAAACTAACATTCTAAAAATCCCAAGCTAAGATCAGATCCTTTCTTTCTTTCTTTCTTCCTTCCTTCCTTTCTTTCTTTCCTTCTCAGATTCCTTCCTTCCTTCCTTCCTTCTTTCCTTCCTTCCTTCCTTCCTTCCTTCCTTCCTTTCTTCCTTCCTTCCTTCCTTTCCTTATTAATTAATTAATTATTGGTTTTTCAAGACAGGGCTTCTCTGTTTAGCTTTGGAGCCTGTCCTGCCATTCACTCTGTAGACCAGGTTGGCCTTGAACTCAGATGGGCCTGCCTCTGCCTCCTGAGTGGTGGGATTAAGGGTGTGCGCCATCACCCCCTACCGCTGAATTTTTTAAAGTTTTTTTTTTTTTTGCTTTGGAGACAGAATCTCATTATGTCATTCAAGTTGGCTTCAAATAAATCTTCCTGCTTCAGCCTGTCAAGTGTTGGTTTACAGGCATGCACTACCACTCCCTGATTAAAATTTTCAATAAAACTTAGATATAAGAATGGTTTTCCTAGCTGGATGGTGCACACCTTTAATCCCAGTACTCGGGAGGCAGATGGATCTCTAGGAGTTGGAAGCTAGCCTTCTACAGAGAAACTTGTAGGGCAGCCAGGGCTACATAGAGAAACCTCTCTCAGAAAACAAAAAAGAGCAGCAGCAACAAAAAAGAATCATCTTCCTGTGTAGTGAGAATGCTTTTGAATATTTGTAATAAAATTTGTGGATATTTCAGGAGGAAAAAAGCCAATTGTTAGATTTTTCTTGTATGTGTGTATGGCATGAGCTTGTGTGTGTGTGTGTGTGTGTGTAGAAGCCAGAGGCTGATGTTAGGTGTCTTCCTCTGGTCTTCCTTACTTACTGAGATAGGACCTCTCACTGAAGCAGAGCTTGCCAATTTGGCTAGTCCAGCTTACTAGGTTGTCCTGAAAATCCTGTCTCTGTCTCCCAAGTGCTGGCATTATAGCCAGGCCTCCATGCTTTTAAGTGCAGTCTGGAGTCTAAGACTCCTGTCTGATACTTTGTGGCAGGCACTTCATCCACTGAGCATTTTTCCAGCTCCCTTACTAGAGTTTTTTAAACTCCCTAGGTGTGATGTTGCATGGTGTAGAAACTAACTAGGTCACTATGCAGCTCTGGTGGGCCTTGAACTCAGAGATCAGCTGCCTCTGCCTTCCTAGTGCTGAGATTAAATGCATGTACCTCTGTTCTTTGTGGTTTTTCTCTTCACCTGATTAGCGTCCAGTCTTCCTCCCTCCCTCCCTCTTTCTTCCCTCCCATCCATCATCCATCCATCCTTCTTTCCTTCCTGGCTTCCACTACATATGAGTTTCAGAAAGTTAAATGTGTAACTTACACAAACATGATGCACATGAAAGATTTACTTGCTTACTATTGAAGGAGATGCTGAGCTAAGTATGTTTCTAAGAGCATTTGGAGGAGTGCAGATTTAGAGGTATTGAAAGAAACGTCACCCTTAGAGTAGTATCAGCTGGTTAGATGCAAACTGATTAATGCGCTACAAGGCAGCAAGGGCCTAACTTTTGGAATTATTTGTCCAGCTACACAGGAATAAGCAAGTTAACATATAACTTCACAGTGTATCTATAACTTCTAAAATTACCATGTATAGGTGACCCTAGACATAGTTACTAATTAAACAGTCCTTTTATTTCAGAACCATCCCTGAAAGGCATTTATTTCCATACTAGCAGAGGCCTTTGAGAACTTTTACTTTGGGATGCCAGAATGACCAGGGGCAGGCTTTTCTCTGCTTTGGGGTAGACCTGTCTGAGGACACCTAAGCTGTCACTCCTCTGCCTCAGTGTGGCAGTGGAACTGAGTGACCAGTTTCACTGGCCTCTCTTTCAGCAGTCATGTTTTCCTCTATTCCTGTGGTCACCAGTGTCTCAGCTCCCTGTGGACACAGTGTCTTCTCTCCGCTCCCACTGAATTCTGCAGAGCAATGGTTGGCAGGAGTTTAAGTTCTCCGTCCTTATGGATCCAATTTAGTTAATACTTAACAAGCAATTACTAATGCAAAGTCCTCCAGTTAGACTCTGTGGGGCCTGGAGAAAAGAATAATATTTCCCCCAGAACCCAGAATTCAGCGGGGAGACAGAAGCATGGAAATCCATACAAAGTTGTGTTTCTTAATCGTGACTGAACACTAGGGTCACTTGGGGCACTGGAACATCCTGATGCCTTCTGCATTCCAGAGTCATTAAATCAGGATCCCAGGGCTGGGGGAAGGGACCCAGAAATCAGCATGTTTTAGAGGTTTCTGGGAGAGTCCAGTGTATTGCTAAGCCAGAGTAAAACAAACTGGGAACACTTAGTGAAGGATTAAGTGCTGAATCAACAGGGTGCCATAGCCATTCTAGGCAGGCTCACCCACCTTCCAGTCACATTTCAGCCTACGAGTGAGGAAAGCACAGCCTTTCATTGATAGATAGCATGGGAAGTCTTAGGTCAAAGCACCTATGGAACATACACTTTTGGTGGCTGGAGAGATGGCTCAGTCAGTAAAGTACTGGCCATGCAAGCACAAGGACCTGGCTTGATCTCCCAGAACCCAATTGAAGGGCTGGCACTGCAGAATGGTCCTGTTGTCTCTGGAGCAGAGAGGGGACAGGAGGACTGAGACCTATGTACAAGCTGCAGTGGAGGGCCTCAAGAGGCGGCTCTGCTTAAGAGCTGTTGTTGCTCATGCAGCTACCCCAGCTTTGGTTCCCAGCACATATTGTGGTTTCTAACTGCCTGTAACTCCAGTTCCAGGAGATTCAAGGCCTTCTGACTGCTGAGGACACCAGGCATACACACATTGCACATACATACAAGTAGAAAAATGCTCATACACATAAATCTATGTGTGCCTATTACAGCTTACCCATATGTATTTTAAAATGTAACACAGAGGAGAGCGATTGAGGGAGACACTGGATGTCCACATACAGACAAATGCAGACACACACAAAGAAAAATATCTTAGGAAGCTGTGTCCCTTAAGGAGAAAGAGGCCTCTGAATTTATCCTCTGTGCTATTTTACCAGGGTATTTTTCTCCCGTGCCTTTCTGAGGATCCTCCTTCCCTCCCCCCCTTCTCTCTCTCCCTCCCTCCCTCCCTTCCCCCTTTTTTGAGACATTGTGTCTATGTCACCATACCTATCCCTAAACTCAGAGTTCTCCACACTCAGCCCAGTAGTGCACAAGTTCTAATCATTGACAAATGACCACCAAGCTCAGTGTCAAATACAGTGGATAGTCTTTTTGCTACTCCTGGGTAATACACACAAAGGACTGTAAGTTGGCTCACCACAGAGGGACCTGCATATCTGTGTTTACTGCAGCACAAGTCACCACAGCCAAGATATGGAAATATGGAATCAGTCAACAGATGAATAAAGAAAATGTGATATACACACGTGCACACACACACATATATATTCACACACATACATAAATGAGCACACTAGAGTCCTAGTCATCCATTAAAGAGTGAAATGATACCATTTACAGGAAAGTGGATGGAAGTGGAGATCCCAGTAACAAGCAACTCAGACACAGACAGACAAGTATCACATTTCCTCTTATCTCTACATCCTAGATTTTGTGTGTAGGTGTGTGTGTGTGTGTGTGTGTGTGTGAGTGTGTGTGTGTGTGTGTGAGAGAGAGAGAGAGAGAGAGAGAGAGAGAGAGAGAGAGAGAGAGAGAGGACAGAAGCAAGATTGTCTGGGAGAAGAAAGAGACTAGTAAAAGAAGGGGAAAAGGGTTTGGAGGGTATATGTGGTCAAGCACATGACTTGCTTGAATGAAATGTCTTTATGAAACCCAGTACCAGGCGGTGAGTTTTCTGCAAAGACTTGTCTTGTTAGTAGGCAGCTTACATGACACCATTTTAACTGGAGGCTTCGTTCTTCTTGTCCTATTCAGAACTAAGAGGAACAGAGTGACTATGGTCTTTGCTCACAGAATGGATAACGACCAACCACCTGTGCTTGCTGCCACCCTGCTGGTGCCCCTTCAGAACCACAGCTTCGTGGAAGCAGCTGAGGCCCTGCTGCCCCATGGCCTGATGGGATTCCCTGAGGAGCATGGCTGGATGAACAACAGGACAGACCTTCAGTATGCACTCAACCCTGGAGAGGTGGCCACAGCCAGCATTTTCTTCGGCGCTCTGTGGTTGTTCTCTATCTTTGGCAATTCCCTGGTGTGTCTGGTCATCCACAGGAGCCGGAGGACTCAGTCCACCACCAACTACTTTGTGGTCTCCATGGCATGTGCCGACCTTCTCATCAGCGTGGCCAGCACACCCTTTGTTGTGCTGCAGTTCACCACTGGGAGGTGGACCCTCGGCAGCGCCATGTGTAAGGTGGCTCGCTACTTCCAGTACCTCACTCCAGGCGTCCAGATGTACGTGCTGCTCTCCATCTGCATAGACCGCTTCTACACCGTCGTCTATCCCCTGAGCTTCAAGGTGTCCAGAGAGAAGGCCAAGAAGATGATCGCCGCCTCCTGGATCTTACACGCAGCCTTCCTGACTCCTGTCTTCTTTTTCTATGGCTCCAACTGGGACAGCCATTGTAACTACTTCCTCCCTCCCTCCTGGGAGGGAACTGCCTACACGGTCATCCACTTCTTGGTGGGCTTTGTCATTCCCTCCGTCCTCATAATCTTATTTTACCAGAAGGTCATAAAGTATATCTGGAGAATAGGCACTGATGGGCGGACCCTGAGGAGGACGATGAACATTGTCCCCAGGACAAAGGTGAAAACGGTCAAGATGTTTCTCCTCCTGAATGTGGTGTTTCTGTTCTCCTGGCTGCCTTTCCACGTGGCTCAGCTCTGGCACCCGCATGAGCAAGACTACAAGAAGAGCTCCCTTGTCTTCACAGCGGTCACGTGGGTATCCTTTAGCTCTTCAGCCTCGAAACCCACTCTCTACTCCATTTATAATGCCAATTTTCGGAGAGGGATGAAAGAGACTTTCTGCATGTCCTCGATGAAGTGTTACCGCAGCAATGCCTACACCATCACAACCAGTTCAAGGATGGCCAAAAGAAACTATGTTGGCATTTCGGAAATCCCTCCCATGAGCAGGACGATAACCAAAGACTCCATCTATGACTCATTTGACCGAGAGGCCAGGGAAAAGAAGCTTGCCTGGCCCATCAATTCAAACCCACCAAACACTTTTGTCTGATTTCTAAGAATTCCTTCACTGTTATGTGCCAGAGATTAAAAGGCTTTAAATATAAAAAAGGAGTTTTACTTAGTTTTCACTCAACTGTTTTGTAAAGTGCTTCCATGGTTGACTGGTTTCTGTTCTAGTTGCTTTTTGCTGGTCAGTAATGCTCACACCATCAGATGCCCATGAGAAGTTCTTTCCTGGAGAAATGGCTCAGTGGTTAAGAGCACTGGTTGGTCTTTTGAGGACCCAAATTCAAACCCCAGCACCCACACAGCAGCTCACAGCCACCATTAGTTCCAGTTTCAGGGGATTCAGTGACCACTTTTGGCCTCTCTGGATTCTACACACTTGTGGTACACAGGCATTTATGCAGACAGAACACCTGTGCACATAAAAGTAAAAACAAAAATGTGTTTGTTCGTCTGTTTGAAAGTTCTTCCGTGAATGGGGACAATGGCTCAGAGGGTAAGGGCTCTTACTACCAAGCCTGGCAGCTTGAGTTCAATCCCTGTAATCCACATGGTGGAAGGAGAGAACCAGCTCCTGCAAGTTGTCTTCTGGTCTCCATACAAGTATTGTGGCATGAATGCACTTGTGTGCACACACTTTATACATGTAAAAGAAAAATTAAAAACTCTTTGTTATTTTTGCTCTATCACCACGTCAGTATACACATTCTTCTATTTTTTGGTTCTTTCTTGCCTTATGTTGTTTTTCTTTTCTTCTCTCTACTGAATTTTTTAACTGTGGCCTCCTGTTCCACTGAAATCCCCCCATAAGTGGTACATTTCAAGAACTTGTGTTTCGAAGCCAAGCAACACAGTACACATTTGCTTGTTACCTCCTGAAAGGGGGGGGGCACTGCCCATTGCCCATCCACTGGAGCCTGATGGAACTAGCTGGGAAGCCTCCTGTGATGGACTTAATTCTGCTTTGGGAGAGAACGGTAGAGTCATCTCCATTCCTTGCCTTTTCTTGTTTTCATCCTTAATCCAAGCAGCTGGTGAAGCCTTGAAAATTCATTGTTTCATTTATTGGTGGTGGTGGGGTGCCCTTGGAGAGATCAGAGGACAACTTGCAGGAGTCAGCTCTCACTTGCCACTTTGTAGGTTCTGGAGCTTGAACTTAGGTCATTAGGCTTGGCAATAGGCACCTTCTTCCACTGAACTTTCTTACTGGTCTAAGCCTTGAAATCAATGTACTATTTCCCCCATACCTGTGACCCATCCACACAGTTCCTAGGGCCCATACCTCTCTTCTCTAAGTCACCTTGAGCCAACCCTGCAGACCCATGAGGGCATCTCTAGTCAGACGTCCTCTTCTCTCTAGAATGAACCATGATTTGCTTCCAAACTCAAAACTGCCCTTTCCTGTGTGATTTAGGATTCGGCGCCTTTATTCCCAGGTGCACATTATTTGAAATCTAGCACTAGTACAGCTAGGAAGTTTTTTGTTCTTTGTTTTTTCTTTCTAAGCTGGGTATAGCACACACTCATATTTCTAGCCCTCTGGAGAATCAGGAGTTCAAGATCATCCTTGGGTACGTATGTGGTGACTCAAAGGCAATACACCACAAGGCAAAAGGACTTGGTTTTGATGAAATAAGGGCTTACAGACAAGCCTGGTTTGCATTTCCAGGAGTTGGTTAACACAAGCTGCATGTAATAACTCATCGTTTAGCAAAATACTTGTATTAGCTCATCCTCTCAACAATTCCATGATCTATTTATGGTTTTTGTTTGTGTTTTTTTATATTGGGTCTTTTTTATATTTTATATTTTATAGCCCAGGCTGGCTACATACTCAAGGCAATCTTGCCTCAGCCTCACCTGTGATGAGTTCATAATCGTCTCTATTTACCAGACGAGGAGACTGGATCTTCTCAGTGAGGCAGCTTGTCAGGTTGGAATGTGACAGCTGGCATTCTGACTCAGGCCCTGCTCCTGTGGCTCATTCCTTACCATTTCAGATGTCTCCTTAGAGAATATGAACTGCCCCACTGAGACATGCCCTGTTGGCCTGATCATGACGTTGGTAGACCCAAAAGGTCTAAAATAATCTGGCTGTTCCGGTAAGGTCAAGATGGAGTTGAATGAGCTGGCTCTCCCCTTTCTCTTGGCCATTGATTGATTCTTCAGTCTTAGATGTGGAATGTTTGAGATCAAGAAGTTAGCCTCTTAAACACCAGTAAGACAAGATGTGTGACAAAGGACAGCAATGCAAGCAGTCACCTTAAATCACACCACTCAGGAGGCAGAGACAGACAGATCCCCAAGTTTAAGCCATCCTGGACTACATAGCAAGATCCAGGCCAGCCAGGGCTGCATAGTAAGAGCCTGTCTCAAAAGCCAAGGCAAAACCCAAACAAAACAGTAAGATACTTGCTCTAAAACATCTACAGAAGTTGGACATGCTGACACACCCTTGTCATCATTACTCAGGAGGCAGGAGGACCTGGAATTTCAAGGTCGGCCTGGTGTACACAGTGAGCAGGGTCACATAGTGAGACTGTTCTCAACAACAAATGACAACAGAAATGCCTTCAGAAATGCTTTTGAGTCGAGATGCTTCCTTCAAAGAACCAATTCAAAAGACTAAAAATATGAAAGAAAATAAGATCTAGCACTCCCCATTGCCCCCCCTCTTCCCTCTTCACATGCTTGGCAGATGTCTCTGAAATGAGTCAGATGCTGCCTCACTCAGCCCTTGCGTTTTATGGTTCAGACTTTAAAGTAGAAAGGACCCTTCTAGTTGTTCCATTCATTTATTTTTGTTTGTTTTGTTTTTCAAGACAGGGTTTCTCTGTGTAGCTTTAGATGTTCTGGTACTCACTCTGTAGATCAGGCTGTCCTCAAACTCACAGAGCTCCACCTGCCTCTGCCTCTCTCATGCTGAGATTAAAGGTGTGCGCCACCACCAACTGGCACTTATTTAAGGACTGATTGCAGTGTGTGTGTGTGTGTGTGTGTGTGTGTGTGTGTGTGGTTTGTATTGTAGATGTGTTCAAGTGCCTATAGAGACCAGGAGAGGGCATCAGAACCGCCTGGGAACCCAACTCTAGTCCTCTGCAAGAGCAGCAAGTGCTCTTAATTGCTGAGTCATCTCTCGAGGCCCTGTTTATTTTAACTTTATTGTTGTTATTGTGTGTATGTATGATGTCTGTGCAGAGTCAGGCCAGGCTCACTCAGCAAGCGCAGCTGCTTTCCCAGTTTGCTTCTGTTCCTGTGATAAACACCATGAGCAAAAGCAACCTGGGGAGGGAAGGGTTTACTCCGTTTTACATCTCTCACAGTCCATCATGAAGGGAAGCCAAGGCAGGAGCCTGGAGTTGGAAACTGAAGCTTGCTCCTATGGCTTGCTCAGCCCAGGACCACCAGCCCAGGGGTAGCCTTGCCCACAGTGGTCTAGGCTTTCCCGTATCAATCATCAATTAAAAAAAAACACCCCAACAGATTGACTTCCAGGCCAGTCTGATGGAGGCATTTTCTCAGTTCAGGTTCTTTCTCAGTTCTGGATGGGAAGGGCCAGCTCCTGGAAGTTGACCTCCACACACCTGCTATGGTTCACCACTCGCCCACAAAATTTATTTTTAAATAAATATGGCAACTAGTTCTGTGTCTCTCAGGATGCACTTGTTGGAGAATAAACGTCCTAGCTGAGGACTGGGCTTGAAAGGATGCGATCTGCCTTTGTTCTAATTCTTCACAAGGAAAAGGCTGGAGAACCCAGACGCAGTTCTGCGAGACGCCGCCTGGTGGCGCTGTGCCTAGCGGGCAGAGCCGGCCTCTCCACGGAGCTGGTCACCGGAATTCAGAGACATCTTAACCACACAGGCAAGCTTAGCACCCATACTCAGCTGTGGGTTAATCAATCAGTGTGCTCTAAACATCGGAGGACATTCCTTAGCAAATAATGCCCGTTACAGGCGCGAAATCGCTATTCAAAATATTGTTTTAAATTCATTTTACAAATGTGATCATGCTTTAAAAAATCCCATAGATCACCAAACCGGCAGTGGTACCACCAGCCTCTCCGTTTTCTGTTCGCTTTCTTTCTTTTTAAGTCAGAATCTCCTATATCCTGGGCTGGCTTTGAATGAATTATCCTCCTGCTTCTGCTCCTCCACCCCCACCCCAAATTCTGGGATTACATCACTCCTGGTTTTATTCATTGCCGGCATCTGCTCAGAGAGCACCCTGCAAGCTGAGCTACACCCCACCCCTCTTCTGAGGCGTTCAGAAAATGTGCATGTTAACTTAGTGTGGAATGAACTCACTTTAGGCCCATCTCATTGACTGCAGACACTATAATTTTTTAATCTACTACAATCTTGGCAGTTCTGGACTTTTTCCAAATGTGGACACTTCAAGAGTGTTATATGTTCTTTCTCAGAAACCTTTTGTTAAAAATACTGTTTTGGGGTGCAGTGAGATGATTTAGTAGTTAAAGTTGCTTAACATCAAGCCGGGGACCTGAGTGATCTCTAAACCCACAATGTGGAAGGAGGAAATAGATTCCCACAGTTTGAACTCTGTCCTCTATGCATGCTGTGGCATACACACACACACACACACACACACACACACACACACACGCACGCACCCCTAAATAAATACATGAAAACAAAAATAAAATCTCTGAAGTTCAAGGGCAGTGTGGGCCACAGGGAAAGACCCTGCTTCTTAAGAGTGTCTGGGCATGGTGTCTTTCTTAGTTCATTTCTTGTTCATGTGATATTGTGCTCTGCCAAAAGTAACTCTAGAGAAGAAGCTTTTATTTTAGTTCCCAGTTCATGGAAGTTAACCAGGGGCAGCAGGAATTTGAAGGGGTTGATCGTATCTCAGCAGCTAAGAAACTGAGAAAGGGACAGAGTGAGGAAGAGAGAACAGGAGGGAGAGGGGAGGAAGGGAGAGAGAGAACAAGAAGACCCTTCTAGTCCTCATTCACTCTAGGATCCTCTGCAGAAGGAATTGTACCACCCACAGTGGATGGGTTTCCCCACCTTAAATCCAGCAGTCAAGATCATGACGATCCCCCACGTACACTCACCCAGAGGCCTGGCAATCCTAGGTTCCATCAATTTGAGCACACTAACCCTCATCACAGTGTCCCATGCCTGGAATCCCAGCATTTGGGAGGTGGAGACAGGAAAATCAGGAATTCAAGGCCAGGGTTGGCTACAGGAGATCCTGCTTGGGGGAAAACCCAAAACAAAACACAAGTATTGGATCACTGACTCTTATGGACTCCTCATCAGCTGAGTTATGCAGTAGAGATTACAGAATCTGGATTCACTTCACACTTGAAGGATGTGGGATTTTAGCTCTGTAGGGTGACCGATGCCTGAGGAGCTTCAGACTGAGGAGGCGGGTCTGAGGACAGGATGTGGAGTGTGTGGCAGCTCTTAGGATCTTCCAGC